TTTTTTTGAGTAGGATCTCACTCTGTTGCCCAGGCTGGAGTGCAGTAGCACACTCACAGCCACTGCAGCCTCAACCTGCTGGACTCAGTTGATCCTTCCACCTCAGCCTTCCAAGTAGCTGAAACCACAGGCACATATCACCACGCCCAGCTAATTTTTTGATTTATTGTAGAGACACAGTCTTGCCAAGTTGTCCAGGCTGGTCTTGAACCCCTGGACTCAGGCAGTTCTCTTGCCTCTGCCTCCCAGAGTGCTGGGATTACAGACATGAGCCACTGCGCCCAGCAGATTTTTTTTTTTTTTGGGTAACATTTTTATGTGAGGTTGGTTGAATCCATGGATGTGGAACCCTCAGAGACAGAGGGCAAACTGTATGTATGTACATGGTACATATATTTCTCCTATGACTTTTTGCTCATTTTTACTGTTAAAAATAGCAAGTACAAGCCAGGCTTGGTAGCTCAGCCTGTAATCCCATGCCTTTGGGAGAGGCTGAGGTGAGTAGATTGCCTGAGCCTGCGGGTTCAAGACCCGCCTGGGCAGCGAGACCTCATCTCTACAATAAATCAAAAAATCAGCTGGGCATGGTAGCGCGTGCCTGTAATTCCAGCTCCTTGAAAGGCTGAGGCGGAAGGATCGCCGGAGCCCAGCAGGTCGAGGCTGCAGTGGCCGGGAGCGGCCACTTCACTCCAGTCTGGGTGACAGAGTGAGACTCCAACTCAAAAAAAAAAAAATAGCAAGTACAGTTAGGCAAAGAAAGGGGAGAAAATGTAAAATTCTACACTCTGGAGAATCACTATCAGTATTTTATTGCATATTTTGTAGTCTTTTTTTCTTTCTTTTTTAATTTTTAAATTTTTTTTTGTTTTTGAACATATTTTTTATTCCTTTTTTTTTTTGAGTCGGAGTCTCACTCTTGTCGCCCAGGCTGGAGCACAGTGGCACACTTAGGGCCAACACAGCCTCGACCTGCTGGGCTTAGGCGATCCTTCTGCCTCAGCCTTCCAAATAGCTGAAACTACAGATGCACACCACCACACCCAGCTAGTTTTTTGTATGTGTAATTTATTGTGGAGACGAGGTCTCACCAAGTTGCTTCAGCCTCCCAAAGTGGTGGGATTATATAGGCTGAGCCACCGCACCTGGCCTAGTATTCTTTTTTCTATGCAAATGTTTACACTATGGAGTGTTTGTCTTCTTAACATATGAATATCTGTGTATACTGTTCTATAGCATATACTTTTTTCGCTTAACAGTAAAAATAAATGTTTGATTAAATAAAAGAAGGAAATGATATGATAATTTGAAAAATAAAACGAGTCCGGGTGTAGTGGCTCATACCTGTAATTCCAACACTTTGGGAAGTGGAGACAGGAGGATCCCTGAGCCCAAGAGTTCAAGAACGGCCTAGGCAACATAGTGAGACCTTGTCTCTACAAAAATAAAAAAATTAGCTGATCGCAGGGTGTGTGCTGATTAATAGCCCAGCTACTCGGGAGGCTGAGGCAGAAGGATCGCCTGTGCCCAGGAGTCGAACCTGTGGTAAGCCATAATTGTGCCACTGCACTCCAGCCTGGACGACAGAGTGAGATCCCACTCCAAAAAAGAAAAAAGAAAACAAAAATGAGATGAGAGTGATCCACATTTAACTGGAGAGAAAGGGTTGGGTGCTCTTGGTTTCAATACCAGAGGTGTAAGGTGACCCTGGCACCTCTGACATCCCTAGAGCTTGACATCTGAGGGACTTTTCCAGTTAGCAACTGATAACTTCCTTCTGCAGGTCCTGGATCTCCACGATAATCAGCTGACAGCCCTTCCTGATGACATAGGGCAGCTGACAGCTCTCCAGGTAAGGCTGCAGAAGACACAAACCCTCCTCTGACTGCCTGAGTGCTTGCGGTCACACAAGCCTTGGAAGGTTCTGGTTCTGCCCTAGCCTTAGAAGCAGGCTGCTCTTGGTGCCAGCTCCACCCTGCCCGTCACACTTGAGACTTCTGGGACGCCCTCACCATTGCCGTCTGGGCTGTTGGTGTGTCTCAGCCATTTTTGTCATGTGCTTTCTGAGATTTCATCCTAAATTTTATAACTTTATATTTAAAAAAGCAATCAGTGAGACTGCCTTTCAAAGACAGTGTCTGCAGCTCTCTGGCTCCCATCTTACTTCTAACCCCTGTCAGTAACAGCGCCTGCATTTATGGAGTGTTTGCTCCCACCAGCCCTGAACCAAGCCTGCCCCATGCATTACCTGTGGATTCCTCCCACCAGCCTGTCCAACAGCAGTCAGTGTGGCCCCCATTTCCCAGAGGAAGACGTGGCTTCCTGCTGCCCTTAGACTGGAATCCACTCTGTTGACGAGGACCCAGAAGACCCCGTGCTGGGCCCACCTGTCTTTCAAGCCTGCTCTCCTACCCTCTCCTCTTGGCTTCCTGTCATTAGCTCCTAAGCCCTCTTTCTTCTGTGCCCCCCAGGCCTCTGCCTGTGGGCTCTTCCTTCTGCCTGAGTTGCTTGTCCGTCGTCTCCGAGCCTCAGTGTCTCTGCGAGTCCCCCTTCCTGTGCCGAGCGCCCCTCTTGCTCCTATCTCTCTACCCAGAGTGCCGATCGCGGTCTGTGGTGCCTCATTATACGCCCACTGGCTCGCCGACTGCCTCCCCTGGTAAAATGTGGCCTCTGTGTGGTGTCTTAGCGCACATGTTGCCTGGCGCAAGAAGGGGTTTGAACGAAAAACCCCACCGTGGAGGTCGTTACCGCATTTCACAGAGGAGAGCGCTGAGGTCCAGAGGGATGCTGTCACTTGCCCACAGCCACGTAGAGAACGTGTGGCATGCCAGCAATTGCCACGACTTGGAGCCACAGTAAATACCTCGTAGGGTCTCTGGGGACTTCGGCTTTTTTTGAGCCAGGGTCTCACTGTGCCGCCCAGGCTGGAGTGCAGTGGCACAATCACAGCCCGTCATGGCCTTGACCTCTTGGGCTCAGGCTGTCCTTCCGTATCAGACTCCTGAGGAGCTGGGACTACAGTGCATGCCACCGCGTCTGGCTAATGTTTTTATTTTTTGAAGAGACACGGTTTCTCTGTGTTGCCCAGGCTGGTCTTCAACTTCTGGACTGTGATTACAGGCCTGAGCCACCTCACCTGGCCTGGGACTTATTTTCTATGTATGTCGTCATCGAATTGCTGCATTCAGTATTTTGTAACTTGTGGATACCCGGCAGTAACTCGTAACATCCTTTGGTTCATCAAATATTCATCTCCGCGTTATTTTAGATGGCTACTTAGCTTTCCACGGTATCTATTTTTAATGGCCACTCAGTGTGTAATCCCGCTGGCCTTGCTCCCCTTGAGGAGCCACCTCCCAGAGGGACATGGCTTTTGGAATCAAACAAGCCTGGGCTCCATTTCAGGACTGCTGCTGGCCTCCAGCCCTGGGGCGGATCCCAGCGCCCACGGGCAGCAGAGTTTCCTTTCCCTTGGTGCTAGAGTCACTAGAGCATAATCACGTGCTGCCTCACCCTGATTGCTGGGTGTGTGAGCCCCCTTCTTCCTCCTTGCCTGCTTGTGGGGCAGCTGCTGAGCATTTTGTGGTCAGTAGAAATGCTGGCACCCGGGTCAGAACCGGGGGCTCGAGGTCCGGCTTTGGTCTCTCAAGCACATGGCTTCTCCACCCGGAAACTTTTTCTCCTGTCCGTGGCTTCCTCCCGGGCTGACAGGAGGAGGCGAGGGCATATGTGTGTGGTGCTGGGTGATGCCTGAAGCAGGGGCGAGGGGTGAGGAGCGGCCAGCGTGGTCTGCGTGGGCACTCTCATGCCGTTTCTTCCTCTTCTAGGTATTCAATGTGGAAAGAAACCAACTGACGCATCTCCCACGTTCCATTGGGAGCCTGGCCCAGCTCCAGACTCTCACTGTCAAAGGTAGGGGTCAGGAGCCCTGCCCCTGTGACCCCCAGACAGCTCCTCCGACCGAGGAGCCATTGAGCATGGGGGCAGCCAGTCACAGCTGTCCCCCTTCTAGACCCACCTGTCTCGTGGTAACCAGAGACAGGCCATCTGGAGGGCTCCCATGTCCCCTTAGAGCCAGAACCTTGTGCGGAGGAAGGCAGACAGTGCCAGCGCTGGGCCCCGAGACTCAGCCGTCACCTGTGGGAAGCACTGGGGACTGATCGGCAGCGGCATGTCAGGGGCCACAGGAGCGATTCCCAGCGGCCCTTCACGCTCCGTGCATAGCGCCCCCATGTGCCGTGACGCAGAGTGCCTCGGGCATGGCCAAGGTAGGCCAAGCGGGCAGCAGCGTCTCCAACTTACAGAGGAGCGTGGGCTGGGCATGGCGGCTCACGCCTGCAATCCCAGCACTTTGGAAGGCTGAGGCGGAAGGAAGGATTGCGTGAGCCCAGGAGTCCGAGATCGGCCTGGGCAACATAGCTAGACCTCATCCCTAAAAAAATAAAAATAAAAATAAATGGATGCGGTGGCTCAGACCTGCAGTCTCAGCTACTTGGGGGGCTGAGGTGGGAGGATTGCCTGAGCCCAGGAAGTCAAGGCTGTGGTGAACCGTGATCTTGCCATTGCACTCCAGCCTGGGTGACAGAGCAAGACTCCGGCTTAAAAAAAAAAGGTCCAGGCGCGGTGGCTCACACCTGTAATCCCAGCACTTTGGGAGGCCGAGGTGAGAGGATTGCCTGAGCCTGCGGGTTCGAGACCAGCCTGAACAACTTGGCGAGACCTCCTTTCTACAATAAATCAAAAAATTAGCTAGGCATGGTGGCGCATGCCTGTAGTTCCAGCTACTTGGAAGACTGAGGCAGAAGGGTTGCCTGAGCCCAGCAGGTCGTGGCTGTGGTGGCTGGTAGCATGCCACTGCCCTCCAGCCTGGGTGACAGAATGAGACTCCCACTCAAAAAAGAAAAAAATGAGGACGAGAGTGAGCATGACTCGAGGCCACCCAGGAGACAGAGATTCTACTGCAGGCCCCTGACCCAAGCGTACCTGCCTCCCCAACCCCCAGCTCTTTCATCCCCTCCCACTGTCCTGAAGCCCTTTCTGCACAGACTACCTCAGTCTGTCTGGTTGTAACGTGAACGGTCACAAAGCAGTGCCCCGGTGTCAATCGCTTACGTGTGCCTAGAGCCCCGTATGCGTCGTCTCACCGAGCCCTCAGTCCTGCTATGAGGCCAGACGGCGGCATCCTCCCCGTTTTACAGATGAGAAAACTCGCCCGGGGAGGTACAGTCCCTGCTCCAAAGTTACTCAGCTCGTAAGCGATGGAGCGGGGACGTGAAGCCAGGGAGCTTGAGCTGGGAACCCACGCTTGTTCTCTGACTCACAGAGCCTCGGGGTCTGGGCCCTGGTGCAGGCCCCGAAGGTCAGGATGAGGCACTGAGGTCCCCCCTGGAGTCCTAGCAGGTGTCAGGCAGGAATCTGCTGCCAGGCTTTGGGGTATTGAGCTCTGTCACTGGGGTCTCTGCAGACAACAAGCTGAAGGAGCTTCCAGACGCCATGGGGGAGCTTCGAAGTTTACGTACTCTCGACATCAGTGGAAATGAGATTCAGAGATTGCCGCAGATGCTGGCTCATGTTCGAACCCTGGAGGTGAGTGGGGGGTCATTCTTACCCGGGATGCTCTCTGGCCTGTCCACCTCCTTCTCCCACATTCTTCGTCATGGGATACCGGGGTTGCAGAGGTCCCGAGGCGTGGTTCTTAGAAGCTCGCAGAGGCTAGTGTGTGAACATCAATAATTGTGCGACTTGTGTTGTCATAATGGTGGCAGAAAAGCATACTTCTGGAGTGAAGAAGAGAGAATGCTGAATCTAGACAAGGTTAACACTTAACGAAGGTCGTGGCATTTGAACCAGACCTTGAAAGAGGAATAAGGATTTTGAGAAATAGACATGGGTGACAGGGCACCCAGGTGGAGGAGGCAGGAGGTGGGGGGCACAGGTTGTGTGTCTCAGGGAAGGATGGAGATGGGATGTGGCTGGAGGGCCTGGATGTCCAGAGCCCAGAAATCTGGCGGGGTGGGAGCCCACTCGGGCCTGGAGTCTGGGCCTCACGTGGCAGTGCAGACTCGAAGCTTCCTCAGGGTGTGGAGGGAGAGGGAAGGGGGGCTGCTTCTCAGGCCCAAGTCGGTCCGCTCCAGCTGCCCTAATGAAGTGCTGCGGACTTGAGGGCTTGAACGGCGGAAATGCGCTTCCTCGCAGTTCTGGAGGCTGGGAGCCCAAGACCAAGGGGAGGGCGGCGCCGGGTCCTTCCGAGGCTTCTCTCTGGCCTGTGGATGGCCGGCTCCCCTCCGGGCCTTCCCATCGTCTTCCCTCTGTACGTGTCTGGGTCCAAGTTTTCCGCCTAGAAGGACACCAGTCATACTGGATCAGGGCCCAGCCTCGTGAACTCCTTTGAACTTCATGGCCTTCTTACAGGCTACGTCTCCAGACGCAGTCACATTCTGAGGTGTGGCAGAGAGGAGGTGTTAGGGCTTCCAAGTGTGAGTTGGAGGAGGACATCGTTCCGCTCAGCGGAGGGGCACTCTGGCGCTCACGATGACAGGACAGTGCAGCTTTATCTGGGGCTCTCTGAGGCCAGGCGTGTGGCCCGTCTTCACTCCCTGGATCCTCCCAGAAGTCTTGTGAGGCCGATGGCTGTGGTCCCGCGTTGTAGATGGAGGAACTGAGGCACGGACCCCTTAAGGAGCTGGCACGCACGAGGGCCAGTCAGTGACGGAAGAGACGGTTGTAATCAGAGAGTGAATCAGACGCCTGTGCTCTTGCCCTCTGCAGTATGGCTTCTGGAACAGGGACTTTCCCCTCCCTGCTGACAGGCGGTCTGGCCGGGCATCCCAGAGCCTCCGATGAGCCGTCGGTAGACCGCCTCTTTCAACCCACACTGCTGAGAGGAAGGTCTGTGTCAGGGGGAGGTGAGCACGGGGACAGAGCAGAAGGAAGCAGCTGACCTCTGTGGCTGGTCTCTCCTACCTGAGGAAGGGCAGGCTGGACAGAACAGCCAACCCAGGACTATTCTCTCCGCTGCCCCCTGGACCTTTCTGCGATGCCGGAAATGTTCGGTGGCTGTGTTGTTCAGAGTGATGGCTGCTGTGTGTGACTACTGATGGGCTGGAATGTGGCTGGTATGTAGGATCAAGGAGCCAAAAGTCTGATCTTACTGAATTTTAATTAGACTACACTCAAAAAGCCGTAGGAGCTTATTGGTAACTATTAGACAACATAGCTGAGAGCACGTGTTCCTGCCCCGAAGCTATCCAGAGACATCTATCTAGAGAGAGTTCTGGAAGTGATTCATTTTCCATTGATTCCTTTAAAAAACTTGGGAGTGCCGGGCTCAGTGGCTCAGCCTATAATCCCGCGCCTTTGGGAGGCTGAGGTGAGTGGATTGCCTGAGCCCGTGCGTTCGAGACCCGCCTGGGCGGCAAGACCTCATCTCTACAATAAATCAAAAAATCAGCCGGGCGTGGTAGCGCGTGCCTGTAATTCTGGCTACTTGGAAGGCTGAGGCTGAAGGATCGCCGGAGCCCAGCAGGTCAAGGGTGCGGTGGCCGGGAGCAGCCACTGCACTCCAGTCTGGGTGACAGAGTGAGACTCCAACTCAAAAAAAAAAGACTTGGGAGTTAGCTGGGCATGGTGGCTCGCACCTGTAGTTATATCTACTTTTTTAAGCTGAAGTGGAAGGATTGCCTGAGCCCAGCAGGTTAAGGCTGTGGTGGCCGTGAATGTGCCACTGCACTCCAGCCTGGGCAACAGAGTGAGACTCCGACCCAAAAAAAAAAAGAAACTGGGAATGTCTTGGTGGCACCTCAGCCAGACCTTTCTCTAGAATGAAAGAACAGCAGCAGCCATTATTAGTGTGAAGGCCATAGGGTGTGAAGGATCTTCTTCAGATGGCATGCATATCACCCATGACACAACCCACCAGGTGTGTGACACTGTGCCCTAGGGCCTCAGCCCACAAAAGCTAAGTGACCTGTCCAGGCACTCAGGGCCTCAAGGTGATGAGCTGGAATCTGAAACCAGCACTGTGTGTCTTGGGCACAGGAGCACCTAGTTGCTGCTTCTCTTGCCAGAGATGGGAATGGTCCATAATCATACACCAACTGGGTAGCCACTGCCTGCCTGTGGCCGTTGGGCACTTGAAATGTAACATGTGGCCAGGTTCAGTGGCTCATGCCTGTAATCTAGCACTTCAGGAGGCCAAGGCAGGAGGATCACTTAAGCCCGGGAGTTTGAGACCAGCCTGGGCAACATAACAAGCCCTCGTCTCTACAAATAAGAAAATTAGGCAGGTGTGGTGATGCACACCTGTAGTCCCAGCTATTTGGGAAGCTGAGGCAAAAGGATTGCCTCAGCCCAGGAGGACAAGACCATGGTGAGCTGTGACCATGCTGCTGCCCTCTGGCCTGAGCAGTAGAGACCCTGACTGGGCTGGGCGCAGTGGCTCACGCCTATAATCCCAGCACTTTGGGAGGCCAAGAAGAGAGGATTACCTGAGCCCATGGGGTGGAGCCAGCCTGGGCAACTTGGCAAGACTTCATCTCCACAATAAATCCAAAAAAGCAGCCAGGCATGATGGCGTGTGGCTGTAGTTCCAGCTGCTTGGAAGGATCACCTGAGCCCAGCAGGTTGAGGCTGCGGTGGCCATGAGTGTGCCACGGCACTCCAGCCTGGGCGACAGAGTGAGACTCCAACTTAAAAAGAAAAAAAAAAGAAATGTGACGAATGCAACCAAGGACCTGAACTAAATTTGATTTAAATTCAATTAAGTACAATTTAAACGTAAACAGTCTCATGTGGCTTGGATCCACCATCCTGGGCAGTGCAGCCCAGAGTCTGCTCTTAAACCCTCACATTTTGCTGGCCATGACTAACGGTAGCCACAGCATTAATTTGCTTCAGATGGGGTGTCCCAGCATGGAGTTCTGTGCTCTAGGGCCCCTGCCTCCCAGGCAGTCAGCTCCTCTGACCCAGAGCAGTCTCCCTCCCAGGGCCAAGTGCGCTCGTGTGTCACCCACCGGGCGAGTGGCGGGGACCTGAGCCGTCCCTCCCACACAGCCTCTTGTGCTGCAGCAAGATCAGAACTTGCCCGGCCTCCTCCTGCCCCAGGACGCCCCCGGCCCCAGGCGTAGAGGACATCAGTTCCTTCCAGCCCTTGGTGGGACCAGAAGGCTTATGGAAAGGCAGAGGTCGGCGGGAGGAGGTTCAGTCCAAGACGACTCACACCGGGGCTGGGGGCAGCTCGGTAGGTGTGTGTGTGAACAAGTCGTCTGCTTCCTGGGCTTCATGGACACACATGCATATGCATGCATGTTTGATAAGCATTTGTCTTTGGATACTTAAAAAGTCATATGTATGTTATTGAAAACTCAGGCCAGATGTGATGGCTCATGCCTGTAATCCCAGTACTTTGGGAGGCCCAGGCAGGAAGATTGCTTGAGCCCAGGAGTTTGTAACCAGCCTGGGCAATGTAGCAAGACCTTGTCTTTACAAAAAATAAAAAAATTAAGCCGGGCTCAGTGGCTCAGCTGTAATCCCGTGCCTTTGGGAGGCTGAGGTGAGTGGATTGCCTGAGCCCGCAGGTTCAAGACCCGCCTGGGCAGCGAGACTTCATCTCTACAATAAATCAAAAAATAAAAATAAAAAAATTCACCATGTGAGGTAGTGCACCCCTGTAGTACCGGCTATTTGGGAGGCTTAGGTAGAAGGATCACTTGCGCCCAGGAGTTTGAGGCTATGGTGAGCTGTGATCGTGCCACTGTAATCCAGTCTGGAAACAGAGTGAGACCATGACTCAAAAAAAGAGAAAAATTCAAATATTAAAAAACATTTAATATAGACAGTGCCCCAGAATCTTCCCTTTAGAGGAAGCCACTTTGAGTTTGACATATATTCCTCCAACCTTTTTCTCTAATATATACTAATGTGAGAGTGAAAGAGCGTTTTTGTTTTTTTTTTTGAGTTGGTGTCTCACTCCATCACCCAGGCTGGAACGCAGTGGCACACTCACAGCCACCATAGCCTCGACCTGCTGGGCTCAGGTGATCCTTCCACCTCAGCCTTACAAGTGGCTGGAACTACAGGCACACACCACCATGCTTGACTACTTTTTTTGATTTACTGTAGAGGTGAGGTCTTGTCAAGTTGCCCAGACAGATCTTGAACCTGTGCGCTCAGGCAATCCTCTCACCTCGACCTCCCAAACCGCTAGAATTATAGGCATGAGCCACCGTGCCCGGCCTGAAAGAGCGTATTTTTTTTTTTTTTTTT